AGAGAGAGAGAGAGAGAGAGAGACCCCGAGAGAGTGTATTTTATATGTATAATATATGTATTAGATGTATATTTTTATATAAATAATATACATTATATGCTATAATATATATTACTGTTCTGTTTCTTTAGAGACTCTTAAGGCATTGGTCTTATTACTTCAGTTACCAAGTATAACACATTCCACTCATGTGTGTATATGATACAAGTGTCTGACAGCACTCTGCAGAGAGGAAACCCTTGTTCTAGAAGATAATTCCAATTGACTGCAGAGACAGAGTTACAAGTTTTAATGGCATTTGGCTATTGGTGATTAATCTGCTTGTCCTGAGAGACAGGTATGGGAAGTTGATAAATTAATTCCAATTTGGCCAGATTGTTTTGGAAGTTGCAGAACTCAGTGAAGTCTTAATAAAAGGTCATGTTGGTAACGAAACTAATGGACTCTACAAAAATAGATATAGGAAGGCAACTTGAGGCTCTCTTGGTGACACGGTGACAAGAATATATGCAAATAAAAACATCCGAGCTGTTCTACAACAGGAAATGAAAAATTGTAACACAACAAAAACATTTCCCAGAGCAGACATTCGGGCTCGGTGCCAGCTCTTTAAAACTATTGTTAATGACAGTGCAGTCGCTGTGCAATATGGAGGCAGCTGTGCAAAACCAGACTATAGATGAGAGGAAAACTACAAGAACGTTCAGGGAGCGGGTAATGACAAATACAGTCATCAGACCTGCAAGTCAAAAAGTTGCTTCAAAAGGTGAAATATGAGCCCACTTTGGTGAAATGTTAGAAAGAGGTCACACAATTAACGGGTCTTCAAATGTTCTCCTAAAGACAAACTCCCAACATGTTCCTTTCAAATCTGTGGGAGTGTTGGTATACAGGGGAGAAGTTATAGCTGAGATTGCACAAAAAGAGTAAAAAGACGACGAACAGGCTGGGAAAAAATTTTGGTGGTGACATATCTGGTAATAGTCTAAATTCTAAAATATGTAGAAAACCTCACCACCTCAACAACAAAAAGACAAGCCAATCAAAAAACAGGTAAAAGCCATGAAAACATAACTCAACAAAGAGGACAGGCAGGTAGCTAGCAAACACATGAAGAGATGTTCAGGATCATGAGTCATTAGACAGATGAAATCAAAACCACAAGGAGATGTCATCTGATGTCTGCAAAAATGGCACTGATCAAGAAACCAGAAACCAACAAATGCTGGCAAGTGGTATGGAGATTGAACTTTTATGCACTACTGGAGGACTGTAAAATGGTACAACCACTATAAAAAAAAATCCACTCCCATCGAATCAATTCTGATTCATAGCAAGCCCCATTGGGTCTCTGAGGCTGTAAATCTTTATGGAAGTAGATTGCCCCATCTTCCTTTCATGGAGTGGTTAGTGGGCTTGAACCACTGACCTTCTGGTTAGCAGCCAAAGGCCCTATCGACTACACCACCAGAGCTCCTTAAAAACAGTGCGCTCTTCCTCAAACAGCTAGAAATAGAAATACCATACAAACCAACAACCCCACTCTTAGGTATATATTCCAGAGAAATAAAAGCAGTGATATGAATGGACATATGCACTCCCATGTTCACTGCAGCATTATTCACAATAGCAAAAAGATAGAAATAACCTAAGTGTCCATCAGTGGATGAGTGGATAATGAAACTGTGGTACGGCCATACAATGGGATATTATGCAATGATAAAGAATAATGATGAGTCTGTGAAATATCATATGGGTGAATCTGAAGACATTATGCCGAGTGAAGTAAGTTAATCACAAAAGGACAACTACTGTATAATACCACTTTTAGGTACGTGAGAATAAAGGCCAACGGTGGTAATTACTAAGGAGCTCTGGCGGCATAGTGCCTAGGGCATTTGACTGCTAACCAGAAGGTTGGAGGTTCAAACCCACCAGCCACTCTGTGGAAGGCAGACTGAGCAATCTACTTCCATAAAGATTTACTGCCTCAGAAACCCAAAGGGGGTTGCTATGAGTTGGAATCGACTCAACAGCAGTGAGTTGTTTTTTTTTTTCCTCCCAGTGGTAATTATTATACCATATATAATTGTGCAACAACCATAATAACCACCAAAAGTTTATGAGAGGTTATATAGGTAGATAAGTATGTTATCTAGATGGGCGAAGGTATATGGGAGGGCATGTGAGTGCATATATGGTTATAGTTATGGGTATATATATATACATACTTGTATGTGCTGCATATATATTCATATATGTAAGAGAACACATAGAGGGCACAGCTATGGAAACTTCTTAGACATATCCAAACACCCTGCAAGACTGAGTTACTGGGCACAAAGGCGAAGGACCATCATCTCAGGGGATACCTAGGTCAATGGGCATAACACAGTTCATAAAGATAATGGCCTACATCCTATTGTGACAAGTAGCATCTAGAGTCTTAAAAGATTGTGAGCATCCATCTAAGATACAAATACTGGTCTCCTCCCATCATCTAGAGCAAAGGAGAGGGAAGGAAACCAACGACTCAAGGAAGCATTAGTCTATTAATGACCCACACAAACCACAGCCTCTTCTAGCCTGGACCAAAGAACGACACAGTCCTGGCTGCCACTACTGACCATTTGGGGCAGGGACATAAGTTAGAATGGCAGAAATATGTAGAACAAAATTCAAATTCACAAAAACGACCAGACTTTCTCGAATGACAGAGACTGGAGGAACCCCAAGATTCTCTTTTAACCTGGAACTGGAGCTACTCTTGGAGGTCACCTTTCAACCAAATTAATAGATTGGCCTACAGAATCAACAAATGTGCAACATCTGCCCAAAAGCAAAGATGAGAAGACAGAGAGGGACAGGGAACTGAAGGGATGGAAAGGCGGAAGCCAAGTTTGAAATGCGGAGTGTGCTGACACATTTTGGGGACAGCAACGGATGTCACAGAACAATCTGTTTATGAATTGTTGAATGGCAAACTAATTTGCTGTGTAAACTAGTTAAAATGTTAAAAAAAAAAAAAATTGCAGCTGGTGATTTTTATTCCCTTTGTGTCCTAAGCTGCTTTATTGGGCATCCATTATTAAAAATAAATAAATATGGTACATGTTTTGCTGGGTATATTCTTAACAACAAAATAAATAAATAAAAGTTAAAAACAAATATACGAAAGGAAGGAAAAGAGAAACATGGAAAGAAGAATTACAATGTAACTTTTGCTGGGGCTCTCATGACTAAATGTTTCAGGCATATATCATCTCAGTGTAGGGTAGACGCCTAAGTACTTCTGTAACAATTTCCTAAAAGTACCATAATGGGGAATGACGGCCATAATGGGGCCTTTTCATGAAACTCTGGATCCCTATCTCAGTGAACACCTAAGAAACCAGGTTGATTTCGGGCAGTGTGAGTTATCCCAAATGAGCAGACTCCACCAGGTCATCTACTCTTCTTTTGTTTCTGAAGTTCGAGGGGCCACGGAGATCAGAGAGCTGCCATTTCTAGACAGAAGGAATGTTCTAGAAGCTGTGGTCAGCTTAACTCACCTAACTCACAGCCCTCTCAGTTACAGATATTTCCCCAGTTACTTAGGGAGACTACTGTGTGACTTTACCACCAGCTACCATGCTGGTCAGCAGCATAAAAGTAGAATCAACAGCAGTTAGAAAGTCAAGTTTCTGGATATTGAAAAACAGGATAGACGTTTCAAAGAACCATTCTATAAATATTTGTGGTAGATTCAAAGACTGAAAAAAAAGTTCTCAATGCCATGAAAAAAACATTAAAATCTCTATAATAAAGGAAAGCATATGGCCATCAATGCTGAACCTAAAACTTTATTGCATAAAGGGGCTTTTGTGGTCCTTAATGACTATCACCACCCTGAGATTTCTCTGTGAGTGTTGTATCCCCCTCCCTGGGCAGCTCTTCAGTACAGACTTCTACTAGGGGCCGCTCTTTGAAATATGCATCCTAATGGTAACATACACCCAGGCGGGACCATTTAAGCAATGACAACATTGATTATAAGACTCAACCTGAGAGACCACTCTCTTTCTGAAAATTACTCTGAAAGCAAATAAAAAAAAAGGGGTACAAAGCTCTTTGGCATCATTTCTGAAAATTCTAGTTACTGAAAGAGGTGGGTATTTACCTCTGCAAACCATGAAAAGAACGTATTTTGGTTTTTAACCAGCAGCTTCTTATCAGAATATATTCCCCAGACCTGCACAAGCTTCTGTGTTGAAAAGTGAACAATGTCATATTAAATGACTTCATATTCACCATGACACGGGCAATTTTCTCATGATAAAATTTCTTTTATGGAGCTGACCTTTTGGATTCATCTTCTTTGAAAGTTTGGATGGGGCAGCAATAACCCAACTCATCTGTTGAAGGCCACAGCCCCTTCCTTACCTGTAATAACAATCTCTCATCGCCTATGACGGCAGCTTGGTTCCAATTAATCACTTCAGAGAATGGCAACTCCCATCCATTGCTGAGCATCACAGGGACACAGGCAGCCTAGGGAGAGAAGGGGCCTCCGTGAGTCTCAGCAAGAAGACAGAAAAACCATTTCAATGAGGGCAAAATCAGGACAAATTCAACTACTTGCATTGCTAACACTGTAGAGACCCCAGACTGCTCAGGCCAGAAAAGTGAGCCTTCCTGAGTTAACAAAACACGTGAAGGCTGTATGTCTCCAGCTTAGATTTCAATATTTGCAAGTCTTGCTCTAGAAAGCTAAAATCTATTTCTATTCTAGAGCATGGTTTGGCTGACCTTACCTCCATGGAGATGATTGGCCTTGCTGGAGAAGTTGTATAGATGTAACAAAATATTTCACCACCAAAATACTAGCATGAAACCAACCTTGAATATAAATGGTCTTGTCAGTGTAACTTCCACCAGCCCATGTGCAAAGTGGTTTATTCCAAGGTCATAGGCAACAAAGAGTAGAATGAGGCTTGGCATTCCTGATCTGTGGACTTAATTATTACAGGAGTTCACCTTGCCCTGGCTCTGTAATACACCCGTACTGGACCTTGCCCCCTTTGGGTGGAGAGGTCCAAACTACGGTGGTACCAATTTACTATCTATACAGTGATCTGGCAGCCAAGAAACATCAGGATAATGACAAAATCTTGCTTCCAAATAACTCCTAATCCCAACCAGAGAATGGTTTGCTCAGTGCAACATCCCAGGAGACTATAAGAACATTAGTGGCCGTATGCTTCACAGAGCACACAGAACACATCAGAAAAGACTTTCAAGAGAAGAAGCCCTTCTGCTGAAGGGCATGACAGAGTGATTTGCAGTTAGGAGACAGGGACAGGAACTTATGAAGTGGTGCTACAGAAGCACAGATTCTAGCAAGTCACAGACAGAAGAGGAAAGAAAACAGCAGCAAGGGGCAAGGAATAGAGGGTGAGAGAGATTGAGAGCATATTCACTTCTGCTGATCAAGGAAGGCTGGCTGACACTTTCCATGGTAACCACGGACCACTTTCTTGGCAGCAGAAGGCATTGAGAAGAGGGAGGTTAATGAGAGGAAAGACCTCTGCAGCTGGAGGCAGGGATCAATGAGCTGCAGAGTCTCAGGATAGCTGGGCCAAGGCAGCACCACCCCGATAGGTATCAGTCTCAGAATGTAGCGGAACCGAGTGCTGGCCAAGAAAGGAACCCAACAGATCATCCTGCTGTGGAGAAGCACCAGCAATGAACCATTTTCATTGCTCTTGGCATTGGCCTCCAGGAAAATGTCAAGACTTCTATAGGGAGTCCAGCTAGACTCTCTGGCAGACCAGACTGCAAACAGATCTACCCTCTGTTTGCAGCCAGTGACCAGGAAACCCCAGAAGCCGACTGTCAAGCCTTTCTTCCAAGGTGCTCCAGGTAGACTGAACCTCCAACCTTTTAGTCAGTAGCCAAGCACTTAACCATTTGTGCCACCCAAGAACTCCTCATGTCCAAAGGCATCTACTCCATCTACTCCATCTATGACATACTTTAAAAAAAAAAAAAAGGTTCTCAGACTTTCTTGGGAAAACAGACTTCAGGTCCTGAAGGAAGCCACACCTGCTTAGATATCACAGGAGAGTTGACAAGGTGATGTCCACTCAGCTGGACTCCAATCCTCAGCCCAATCCTGGGGAAGTTTCAAGGTCTCTTACCTGCAGAGCCTCCAGGAACCTGAAGGATCCAAGCCTGCGACCACGAGGAACCAGACAGAAAGTGGCATTGTGCAGCATTTCCCGATAATCATACCTAGAATGAGAGGAGGAGCAATCAGAAAATGGAGACCCCATAGGCATGGAGACGACTAGCTGAATAAACACCTGGAATGCCCACCTGTGTGAAATTACCCACAGCCAATCAGGGTAGCCACTGAGCCAGCAGCTCGGGGGAGGGGTTTTGTTGCATGAAGGACAACAAATGTGAAATGTCAGGCTGGACACAGCAATCAGGGTCCGTTTTGCAAACAGTACATAAAAGGACAAGTCTGACGGTCCCTATAAACAATTTGACTTACCTAGCCTCTGCTTCTGAGATCATGGTTTCCTGCCATGAATGAAATATTTTGCCCCTAAGCTTAAAGAAGGGACAAAAACAAAACTTCACTGCTAGTTTGTCTCTTTCGCTATATAATGCCATCCCAGTCTGCAAAACTAAGACTGCTCTTGATTCCCACCTCCTAAAACCATGCTATTAAAAACTATCCAGGAAAGCCGCATTTCAAGCACACATTTGTTTTCTCCCCCAAGCTGGAGTTTCTACATATAACCAAGAACATTCAGTTACCCCAGACAAATATCCGTGTGTAAGAATGGTTGACATGATGTATAGGGCAAAAAGGAGCTGAGCTAGAAGGAAGCCAGCCTACGAAATGGGGACAGAGAAGTAATGAGGAAAATGACAAAACAGTCAAGGATTCAGGAAGCTGGACCTCAGGGAGAGGGTTGTTTCCTTTGTGCAGATACCATTTGTTGCTTGTTCGTTTTTGTTTTTTGTTTCTTTGCACTTGAAAAAGAATGAAGAACATGACATGGATGTCCACTGTTCAGGAAAAAGGGACAGGATTTCATTTTGTCTAGAGCTGTCACTTTAAAAGTGCTTACCACAAACATATTTGTAAACACTCAGTTTCAAGTTCATTTTGAGTTTAAGAAAACTGGGGAAACTAGAGATGGCTCACGTCCTGTGAAGGCCCAGAATCTCAGAGCCAAGATGAAATCACTCTCATTTTTCAAGAGCTTCCCATGCTCGGCAGACAGGTGTGACTGTGACAGTAGCATATGTCGCCAGCATTTTCTAACTCTAATAGTCTAATTTAATCATAGCCTGAAGGTATTGGATTCTTCCTTCCTCTTTTTGGGATATTGTTATATACATTTATATATTTTAAAGTCCACATCTATTTTTATATTCTTATACAAAGTAGGCATATGGGAGTAAGCCAATTTTCAATTATAAACCTGTCATTAAGAAGAGACATCATGCAAAGGACCATTTGCTTAAACAAGCGTGTACAACTAATTTGCACAAGAAAAGGTCACCGTGAATGGATTAAGATTATCTCCACTGAGAGTAAAATAAAAACCCCCGCTGCCTTAATTAAACTGCAAAATAGACTTCAAAGTAGAAAAGATTTTTTAAGAGGGCACAAATTTAGCTTAAAAAAAGATACTAAATTATTATGGTAATGGTTTCTCCTTTCCTCACCAAATATACAATGATAATTGACAAGTATCTTCAAGTCCCACTGCTGATAATGTCTGAATTGCTACCTAAGGAACATACACACACATACACACACACACAAAGGTATGTGTGAAGTTAAACTGATTACATATATGTGTTACAGATACATATAGAATCTATCTATTCTCTCTCTCTCTCTCTCTCTATACACACACACACACACACACACACGTATATATATATATAGAGAATCAGTTTAAACTTCACACATACATTTGTGTGTTTGTGTGTGTGTGTGTTTCCTTAGGTAGCAATTCAGACATTATCAACAGTTGGACTTGAAGATACTTGTCAATTATCATTGTACGTATCATGAGGAAAGGAGAAACCAAAGTTCAAATATACTTCAGACTACCAAAACCAAACCAAACCAACTGCTGGTGAGTTGATTCCAATTCACAGATAACCCACAGAACAGGGTAGAACTGCCCTGTAGAGTTTCCAAGGCTGTAAATCTTTACAGAAAGCAGACTGCCTCATCTTTCTCTTGCAGAGCGAGCTGGTGGGTTCAACCACTGAACCTGCCAATCTCAGCCAAGCGCTTTAACCACAGTACCACCAGGGTTCTTCCTTCACATGACAGGAAGGTTTAATAATGCTCAAAATAGAAACCCCTGAGGGACCAGCAAGAAGGTCCTACATCCTCATCATCTGGCTGGTAAAAATGTAAAACCTTATTAATGTTCTGGACTGGAACAAGTTTCAAAGTTGCCAGCTGCAGAATTTACTTTAGGGAAGGAGTGGGAGTGGGAGGAGGGCTGGAAATCCTACAGGAAAAATTCAAATGACAGTTCTACCAGGGTGCTGATTCTTCAGGGATTGTATAGAAGGATTATTTGCTGACACAGTGAAGAAAGCTTCCGTGGCAAACCCTGTGTTCACCTATGTTAACAGGTAACACGAGATATGGGATGAGCACCTTCAGGAGTCTGGGGCCACTGTGAGACTACAGACAACCACAGGACCTCTCCGAAGCTCAGTTTCCTCATTGGCAAAATGAGCTGGCTGGGCTAGATGACTAAAGACTCCATTTTCACATTGTCTTATTCTTTCGTGTTATAGTTAGGTAAGAATGAAAAATAGCCGCTGCTGAGAGTATTCCACTGTTTCAAAGGTTACCATGACCATTATATGTATACGTGTTATACCGATCTGCTCACAACACATGTCTAACATAGGTGCATGCATATATAAACACACAAGGATACCTACAGAGCATACACATTTATAACTTAGAGCAATGATTTTCATTTGGACTTGTCATCATGCCCAAGCCTCTCTCTTCTCTTCTCTGTAGGAAGTGAGCCTACAAATTAGCAGTATATTAGAAATGAAGGGGTAGTGATGTCCCACAAGTAGGACAAACAAGTGGTTCCAGCAGGACCCATATATGTGTTGGTAGCCTCCCCCCGGGCCCTGCTGTGAAGCCTCCTCTCCATTTTGATGCTCTTGCATGCCCACAGCTACCTCCTTCTAGATGCTTAAATGCATTCATTTATTCAGTGCTCAGGAAAATGCTCTGTTCCAGCCACCGTTCCAGTCCTGCAGACATAGCACACAGCCGACAAGGTCCTGGTCTGATAGCTAGACCCCTGGAAGAATCATCTGATAACTGAAATGCTGAAGAGAACTTCAAGTCTGAAATCTCCTGGGAGTATCTGCATTTTAGGGAATCTGTGGGGGGTGGAAAAGGAGCCCTGGTGGCACAACAGTTGAGTGGTTGGTTGCTAACCGAAAACTGGGCAGTTTGAACCCATGCAATGGCTCCTTGGGAGAAGAGACCTGCTGATCTGCTCCCACAAAAACAAAACAAACAACAAAAGCCCACTGCCAAAGAGTTGATTCCGACACACGGCAACCCTGTAGAACAAAGAAGAACTGCCCTCATAGGGTTTCCAAGGCTGTAAATTTTTACAGAAGCAGATTGCCTCA